ATTCAAATGACCTTCGGACAAACAACCGATACCCTAAGTCCACAACCAAACAAGGAACATGAAATAAGACGAGTTATCAGTCCTAAGTCCTTTCAATCCTATTTATATAACTATATTCATATAGACATGATTTGACAAAGTATAAGTTTAAAAGAGTTTAATAGAAAGTATTTAACATGTAAAAGAGTTTATAAAACGATTTGAAGCAGTTTGATTGATAACACAGTTTGAAATGTAAGAAATCCACTTATTTGGTAGTTATTAATCACATGTGATTGATATAATAACTATAATAGTTCAACTTGTATTCCCCCCATAAAAGCATTTAAAATCATTTAAAAGATAAGTTAAGGGGTATGAACTCACCTGTAGTGAATGGTACGAATGAAAGATTGGTTTGTAGGATGCTAAGTGCCAAGTGAAGACTTGAGCACAACGGATCCTAATAAACATATAAAGACACATATATGTATATAATTAGTGTTTATACAACTAATCATGGAAGGGAAACACCTTAGGAACTAGGAAACACTTATATAGAAGTGTTATAATCACAAAGGATTGCATCTAAGGAGTTTAAGGCCACACCATGGTGTTTACGGCCATGTGTTCACGACCACAAGAGTTTACGGCCATGTATTCACGGCCTCATGAGTTTACGACCGTAAACTCATGATGATTTGTGTCCAAAAGGTGTTTTAAGGTCATACAAACCACAAGGAAGTGTTCTAGCCTTAAGTCCAAGCCCTAGGAAGAGTTATGACCACATTTGCACCTTTATTAAGGGTTTACGGCCAAGGGAGATGCTCTTGGCCGTAAACTCTCTTTGATCATGGATATGGGATGATTTCAAGGTGCTAAGCATGAGTTCTTACTAGATATCAAGTATAGGGAAGTAATACTTACGATATAGAATTTAAAAAGGATGATTTTGGACCAAAACACTAGTGTGTTCTTGGTGTTCTTGGAGTTCTTGAAGATCTAACCCAAAAGATGATGTTAATGGATGGAATCAATGGGTTATGCTAGATAAGAAGATGTAGTAACTAATCAAGGGATAAATCACTTACATTTTTGGAAGAAAATGAAGATCCTTGATGATAGTTGAGAGCAAAACCCGATTTCTTGGCTTGGAAATGGTAAAAGTGTTGGAAAAAGGCCAAGTTTCACATATATAGCCAAGAGTTTACGGCCACCATGAGTTTATGGCCGTAAACTCATGTGTCCTGGCCGTAAACTCCTCATGAAAGGGGTTTATGGCTTGATTGATGGTTTTAAACTTCAACTGACACTTCCTATCACTCATTCTTTGGATGTACTAGGTTTAGAATGCTCAAACAGACCCTAAATAGTGCTAGAAGATAGCAGGAACAAGTCTGACTTTGATTGAGTTTAAGTGTTGTACAAGATAGAAATTTCGGGTTGTCACACATGGTCTTTACACACAATGCTGAGGGCCAGATCCCGATCTTACATATGAGTGTCATGGGCTACCCCCATGGTCTTTCCTTGCGAAGCCCGGGGCTAAATCCCGGTCTTACACTCAAGTGTTGTGGGCTACCCCAATGGTCTTCCATACCATTATCACAAAAGTCAACAACATTCTACGTAATAAGCAATGGGCTGACATTGGTGCCTTCGACCCATGAACATGGTGAAAAGAGTCACATCAACTGCTGAAATCCCAAACAAACACTCGGGCTGCTAGGATGGATAAATTCCCATGCTAACTAAACAATAAGGTCCCAAAACAATTAGATCAAAATCCGGACTAAGACTTACAACATAAAACTAATTTCCAAAAGTGAGATGAGCCAAACTACACCTAAGCCCAATAAGATCCTAAGCCCTAACCAAGGATCAACTAAGGCGCATAATGAGCCCAACTGTTGGAGTGGCCCATCGGAAAAACGTCCAAGGCCCAAACCCATCAAATAAGCCCACCCATTTGGCCCAATACGTAAATCCAACTGATTTGGGTTGTACGCTCGACGTACACATTGGTACGCGTAAGGTACAAGGTTGAAGCGGGAATCGAGGAAGTACGCACGACGTACGCAATCCCCATGCATGCCATGCAAAAGTGACTTAATCACTTAAGACCAAACAACTAAAACTCAGATCTGGACCCCTTAAGACCATTAAGGCCATAGAGTTGCAAACTTTATGCCTTTGAGTGGATACAAAGAGCCCAAAGTCTAAAACCTAGCTTATCACACCCAAACCTACACTCTAGCACATGAATGAGGACTCAACAAGGTCCAAGATTGAACCTTTATGATATAAAACGACTAGAAACATCTGAAAATACAACTTGGAGGCTTAGGAGTAGCACATACTATCCAAGATCTAAACTTTAGGGACAAAAGGAGGAAACTAGTCTCAAAATGGAACTTAATGAAAACACAACCAAAGTTTGGAGCTTTATACCTTCTAGTGGTGCAAAATGAAGAGGATAAGCTAGATCCAAAATCTTGAGGGCAAAGCTTCCTTCTCGAAAAACCTTCTTCACAACCAAAAGCACACTCTATCACTCAAAAAGCTCAAAAAAAGATCAAAATACACTAGGGTTTGCTAAGAGGGTCGAGAAAGGGAATTGAGGCTGAGGTAGGGGAGGGTCTTGGTCCATAATGAGGTTTAAATAGTGCACAAACTCTAATTCTTAGGGTTTTGGTCTGAGTCACGTACGCCCAACGTACAAGAGTACACGCAACGTACTCACACGGAGTCCATTACACTAAGCGTATAACGGTGTACGCCCCCGCGTACACGATCCATACCAAAATTTCAAGATTTTAACTTCGGGGACCTAAAGTGCAATCAAATCAAACTCAAGGGTTCAAAAGCAAACTTGATAAATCTTAGATGTTACATAACATAAAACAAGCATCACAAAGCATAAAACATATGTGCATAAACCAACCATAAACTAGTGACATTTTGTGAGCCATTACAAAAATACCAAGTTCATTCCTAAGGGGCGTAAAGGGACCAAATATTCTTATGATGTCTTCTTGTTCCCACTTGCTTCAACACCTTGTAGCAAGTTCATTAAAATAAATTTATAAGTTTATAAAACTTTAATAAAATTAAGTGCATGAACTTTTGATCTTCAAAATGGCCACCATCTTCATTCTTATTGAGTTAAATATATAAATTTTCTTGCCAACTCTTCTTTGAGCTTTCAAATTTCATCTTTTGTTGTGTTGGACTGTTGTGATGATAGTGATGATAAGGATAAGATGATGGTGATTTTGCTATGAAGAAGATGGTGGGGGTGCCGACAATGGTCAAGAAAATCTTGATCTAGCTAGTTATCCCTTTAATTCAATTATCCCATTTGAAATCTCCAATTTAAAATTCGATCCACTAAAGTATTACTTATGACATATGTTTTTCGATCGAGCTACTGAAGAACTCGTACATACCAAAACCCAATTAGGTCTTATAACAAGCTTTGTTCTTTTCCATATTCATTATCCATGTATCTCAACATAACAGTTGACGGCGACAACAAATTTAGATCCAGATGCATGTATTTGGTGGGGCGACAACACCCAGATCATGCCCTCCCAATCTCCTCCACCCTCTTTCGTCTCTTTCTCCCTTTGAAACTTTGATTTTCCGATAAAAACCATATCAAGAATACTGGTAGAGGTAGTGATGATGAGGATTGGGTTACAACCCGATCTGAGAAACCTAGAGGGAGGGAGAAGTGGCGATGAGGGTGGATCCTGGATCATGGCTCCCTCAATCATCAGAGATGACAATATCGACATTGTTGGGGCTACCGTACTCTTCATCTTGTAAACCGATGTATCTTTCTGGCAGGTGGTCATAGTCCGCCACTATTTCTTGAACTTGTTTTGTTTGAAACTGTTTATTAAGAAATGATGATTAGAAGGGTGGTTTTATTTTGTTCATCAGTGGAAGGAAGTGTGTGATGTTTTTTTTTTTTTTTTTGGTGTGTGTGTGTGTTGTGCGTGTGTGAATCTCATATTTATTTTTAATAAAACTTTAAATTAAATAGAAAAACATCTACTCTAATAAATGAAGATCCATTTTGCCACATGTCAATCTTTCATAAGTTTTAACACTCGTCATTTTGTGATATTTTTGAAATAAATAATATCCACATGTCAATTTCTAGGTTTTTTTAATTTTTAAAATTAAAAAGCCACATAATACATATAGTTATATAAGTAAAATATTAAATATAATAAATATGATCATAAATTGCAATAAATATGTTTTTTTCTTTTTTATTTTAAAATTTAATTTTAAAAATTACTTAATGTTTACATTTTGATATTTAATTTTTTTATTTAATCCTTATTCTAATAAATGAATAGTTTTAATCTCCTTTTGCCAAATGTCACTTTAATACAACTCATCATTAATATTATGTCATGTGTCATGTAGATATATTAGGCAACTCATTTCAAAATTCAAATTTATATTTTATAATTATATGTTAAATTTGAAGTTATAATAACTTTAAAATTTTGATATATCTCTTAATTAATAATTTATTTAAAATGACTTATTTAAAATAATTGATTAATAATTCTAAATTTTTATTATAAAAGTTTAATTAATTTTATAACTGTGGTTCACACGGGTTATAAACTAGTACATATAATATACGAGTCTCACACCTAATAAAAATTATATCCGAAGAAGACGGTTTAGTTTTTTCAAATTTCCAAAAAAAAAAAACAAAAATACAAGCAAACTTGTTCCATTTTTACAAGTTAGAACATTTTTCGTAGGGACCATTTTTATAGTTTTGTGAAAATTCTATTTAGAGCGTGTACGTCACGAAGCGTTTGAGAGCTTCTAGCTTCTAGCGTTTGATAAAACGCTCCATTTTGAACAGAAAGTCTAGTTAGGCACTACAAACTTCTAGGGTTTAGTTTAAACAAAACACTCCAAATCCGGGTTTAGTTTAAACAAAACGCTCCAAATCCGAATTACTACAGTTTAACAAAACAATACACTACTTTCTACCCGTAATTTTGCCGAACAAGTTGAAAACAAAGCCTCTCTCGTTTGTTCACAGGCGAAGGAACAGGACTAAAAAGGGATGAACGAAGAACAGCGATCTATTCTCCTTCAATCCTCTTCTCGTTTCCCGCCGCCAAAAGGTTTTGTTTTTCTATCAAAATCTTAATTCTCCAATGTCTAAAGCTAACAATCTTCGGTTTTCAATTCCGACTTTGAAGGAACTAAGCTCTCTTATGGCACCGCCGGATTCAGAGCCGACGCATCGATCCTCCAGTCAACAGTATTCAGAATCGGGATTCTGGCGGCATTGCGGTCTTTGAAGACTGGAGGAGCGGTGATCGGGTTGATGATCACTGCTTCACACAACAAAGTCTCTGATAATGGCATCAAAGTCGCTGACCCAAGCGGCGGAATGCTCACTCAAGATTGGGAGCCATTTGCTGATTCTATCGCTAACGCTCCAGATCCTGAAAGTCTCGTCAAGGTTAGAGTTAGAATCTTACACGCAATTAAGGGCAACATGATTAGGTTAGAGTGCTAAAAAGGGTAAACGCCACCTTTACGGTCCCCACGAACTGGTTCCATGGCCACCATGGGCACAGAGCAAGGAAGGCGATGCCTGGGCTTGAACCTTAGACCTCAATTATCGATTCTCACCTTCTCATTGGCAGGACAAACACACGAGGACTGATTAGGTTAGAGTGTTCTGGACGTTCTGGCTAGGTTTCCAGGGTAGATTTGAATTTGATACATGATTGTTTACATGCTTTCTACTAGATTAGCAATGAATGACCATCGAAACAAAAGCCAGTAAGTTCAATTGATTGTGTTTTACAGAAGAAGGCCCTTGATTAATTTCACCAGTGGATTAAGACTGTTGATATGGTCCTTACTTTTGAGTAGTTAGCCTTTCAGTTTTTTTTTTTTTTTTTTTTTTTTTGAAGGAATTATAGGGAACCATTTGGGTAAGGGATAAATTTATTTGTTCTTACAACATCCTACTTTCATTTCTTCTTACTATGACATTGTAGTTCTAACATGTTCCTTTTTTATTTTAAAATGTCTACCGAGTTGTAGCATTGTACTTACCATTTTTTCTTATTAAGATATCATTCTTTGAAACACAGTGAAAATTGCTTTGAGTTTGGATCACATTGCCAAAATTGGGTAGATTTTTCAAGTGCAATGTAGTAATAGGAAGAAATAAAAGTAGGATGCTATAATCAACAAATCAATGAAAGTACGTTGCTATTTCTTGCATTCAACCCTTTAGATAATAGCAAAGTATAGCCTCTCTAAAACATAAGAAAAATGGAAATCCATTTCACCAAGAGTCTAAGGTTGTGTTTCTTTTTAACTTAACAGAACTTACTCCTGTAAGCAAGTAAGTTATATATGATATGGGTGTTTCTTTTTGACTTAATCCATAAAGAAAAGAAAAAAAAATGGAAATCCATTTCTCCATTATCTCTTAGCTTTTTACAAATTTTCCCTCATTTATTTTTTCCTTCCATTTCCCAAATGTGCTGTGATTTTCTCAAAATATTTTCAAACATCATTGGTCCAGAGATCCAAACAACACATAATGAGGAAAAAAAGGAAAAAGGCCAGAGATTATTTATTTGGCAAGTGCCTTGATTTGAATGTTGATTTACTGATTTCTTGAAACAGTTGATAACTGAGTTTGCAAAGAAGGAAAACATACCACTTGATGGAGCAAAAGCAGCAGTTTTATTGGGAAGAGACACCAGGCCCAGTGGTGAATCGCTTGTTGAAGCTGCAAACAAAGTAAGACACCTCAAATTAAAGTCTGGGTCAAAATCCAGAAAATCAGGTTTAATGGTCCATAATAATCATATCATAAAAGAGTAATAGTTTAATGGTTTAATGAATCAGGAACTTTAGTCTAAACCTTGTGCTTTTAATACTGATCTCTAAATTGGGTAACAATAAAAATGGATTTCTTTAAAATGGTCAAAAATAAAAAGGGAAATACATTATTAGTGGGTAAATCAATCACAAGATGAAACATGTGACATGATTCAATCCCTTCAGATTCCAATTCTTTTGACAGATTCTAATTCCTTCCTAAACATTATTCGATATATCCAAACATCCCATTGGTGTCATTACAAATACATAAAGATTTCTTTATTCCATCTTATTCAAATACTTGAAGAATAGCAATGATAAACTAGAAAACATGTATGTATCTTGTGTTGTATGTTGATTTTATTTGATTAATTTACAGGGAATTTGTTCTGTAGTGGGAGCTGTTGCAATTGATATGGGGATTGTAACAACTCCAGAATTGCATTGGATGGTTCGTGCTAGAAACAAGGGTCTGAAAGCAACCGAGCTTCATTATTTTGATCAACTTTCCACCTCTTTTAGGTTGCTTTACTTCTTATTGGCAATGGCATAAAAAAAAAATTCAATATTCTATTTTTATTTGCTTCTATTAATCTTTGATTCTAGAATTAAATGTGCATATATGCAACAAACTGGTTTTCTACACAAAATATGCTTGCTGTAACATTTCAATCACAACCACTATTTAACATTTTACTACTAACTTGTATAACCCTTTTGATAAATCGTTGCATAATTTGTGTAGGTAAAAAAATAAAATATTGTTGCATAAATTGGTAAAAAGAGAGAAACATTGTTGCATAAATTAATAAGATAAAACAAAGTTGCATAAATAAGCATTAATGGAAGAAACCATGGTTGCATAATTTGGTTTGGTAAAAATAAAACATTGTTGTTTAAATTGGAACAAAGAGTGAAACATTGTATATATATACACACACACACACACACCGTACGTTCATATTTTTTTTTCTTGAAAAATCTATTAAGTTATAGCAGTAAAAATTGTTTTGTATTTCAACTGACATTCAGAGTAATTTGGTAATTTTTGAAGCGCATGCTTTTATAGGAGGAAAGGAAATTGGATGCTATAATAAACAATTAATAGAAGTTTATTATTGTTTCTTGCATTTAATTTGATAGACAAATATACTATAAGATATCTAATTATGAGAGTATAAAAAAAATTATATATTAATAATAAAATCATATATTAATATCCTACTATCCGACCACATTTGGCGACTATGGCTTTTTCTGTCATTAAGGTGTAGTATTAGATACAAATTTTAAAAACTTCAGGGAGTTGCCAAATGTGGACACATTGAATAGTTATATGACAGATTTCAACATAAACTGTAAATATTATATGGAAGGAAATGTGCATTTAACCCTTAATTTGGTTACATTACATTAGATGCTTGATAGATTTGATACCCGAGAAGAGTGGAGATAATCATCATCCAATTGGGAAATTGGTTGTTGATTGCTCAAATGGAGTGGGTGGGGAGAAGCTTCAAGTTTTGAAAGAAAAGTTGAATGCTTTTTTGCATTTAGAGATTCGTAATTCAGGTAATTCAGGTATACTAAATGAAGGAGTTGGTGCTGATTATGTACAAAAAGAGAAAATTGCTCCTCAAGGCTTTTTTGGTTATTCAGATGTTGGGATAAGGTGACTCATCTTTCTTTTCTTTATGTCAAATGACTGAAATATCCTTCCTAAAAGAGAAACTCTTCTGCACTTTCCTTTGTGTTTTTTTACATTCATTCCATTTGAATTGAATTTTGTTGCAATTCAGAAAATTCTATTCAAATTTCCTTTCATAAAGTGATGGGACTCAATTCCAATCCTCCATCATTTGTGTAAATGATTGAAAGTAATTTTTATATCTTGTAGAAAGTTTGTGTTTGTAAAAAAACAAGTTAGTCATAATTTTATAGATGGTAAATTCGATTTATTTACTTCTTAGTAAGTTGATTGTGATTATATTTTCTATAAAGTAAATTTTATATCTTATAAGAACTCAGTATTTGCAAAAGAAATAAATATAATTAACGCTTTTTTTTAGTCTAAAATAGGCTTTGGGTAATTATATCTAATTTGTTCCCGAATAGTCTTGGTTTATTGAATAATTATGTTTGACTCTATAATAGTTATAGAAAAGTTTCGTGAACAAGAAATTAATAAAAAAATATTTTTACAAATATTTATAATCTGTTTTCAAATATATATTTTATAAAAACAAACACAAGTTGTACAAAAGATCAGTTGTTGAAAATTTAGATAAGTTGATTTTGATTATATATTCTGTAAAATAAATCATATATTTTATAAAACTCTGTATTTGCAAATGAAATATATCTTATAACAAATTTTTGGTCTCAAATAGGCTTTCACTAATTATATCAAATTTGTTTTCAAATAGTGGTGTGTTATTGAGTAATTATGTCTAGCTCTTAGTAACTCTAAAAGATTTCCATGTAGAACAAATTAATAGGAAGGTTTTCAAATACTTTCACAAATATATTAATTTATTTTCAAATATGTATTTATAAAAAAAAAAACCCTATAATTCACAAAAAGTCAATAAATCACAATTTCATGATTTGTCATTATTTACATTCTAAATTGTTTAAAAATTTTATAACCCAAAACATAATAATAATATACAACGGAACAGCATCAAATTCCATTCCATTTTCCGCATAAGTAATTTAAAGTTAAATAATTCCTCCGAATTCCAATCCTTTGGAGAACATTGGAAAACTTGAATGGTTGTAGTGAGTGTTTCAGGTGTGCAAGTCTAGATGGAGATGCGGATCGGTTTGTATACTTTACACTCACATCAAATGGAGACAACAACAAAATCAACCTAGTCGATGGAGACAAAATTTTATCCTTGTTTGCTTTATTTATCAAACAGCAACTAAGTATCCTCAATCAAGATGTTGGTGTTGGTGTTGGTGTTGTACAAACGGCTTATGCTAATGGTGCATCCACTAAATACCTAAACGACTTGGGACTAAAAGTCGTATTTACCCCCACGGGAGTCAAGTATTTGCATGGAAAAGCGGAAGAATATGATATTGGTATCTATTTCGAAGCAAATGGTCATGGAACAGTTTTATTCTCGGATCATTTCTTAAGTTGGTTAGATGGTATAAAAAATGAGCCTTGTTCAGGTACTTTATCATCCAATGGAAAATAGCCCTAGAAACCAAAACCTTGTGTGTAAGGACAAAAAATGCTGATTTTGCAACTAATTTGATAGATTTGTTTTGTTTTGTTTTTTAAAAGGTTTAGAGAAGCAGAATGCTGCCAAGAGGTTACTGGCAGTGGCTAATCTGATGAATCAGGCTGTTGGTGATGCCCTGAGTGGGTTGCTTTTAGTTGAAGCCATCTTACAACATATGGGATGGTCACTTGATAAATGGAATCAACTTTATCATGATCTGCCAAGCAGACAACTTAAGGTCACTCACTTCAACTCTTTTTTTTTTTTCCCTCCTGAAATTTTGGGACACCATAGAACATAGCAAGTTAAATGCCATGTGGCAATTTTTGTCCCATTTAAGTCCTAGTACAAAGTATAACAAAAAAAGAAAAAAGAAATGTTTAGATGTCCTGATAGAAGCCACCTGGCACATGTGCTTCATGTCTTTATTTAACGATGAGTTGAAAATGGCGGCAGGTAAAAGTTGCAGATAGAAGTGCTGTGGTAACAACTAATGCAGAAACCAGTGTTGAGAAGCCACCTGGCCTTCAAGAAGCTATCACTGCATTAACGTGTAACTTTTATACAAATATTCTCACATACTTGCCCTAATAATAATAATATTAAGAATTAAATGATTGTGTGCAGCTAAATACCCACAAGGCAGATGTTTTGTACGGCCATCAGGAACAGAAGATGTTGTGAGAGTTTATGCAGAAGCAAAAACACAGGAGGAGGCAGATGAGCTTGCTGATTCTGTAGCAAAAATTGTTCAACAGTTTCTTGGCTCTCACTTCATAGCCTAACAAGTTTCTTTCATGTCTTTTTGCACCCAATCAGGACAAGACATAACACAACAAGAACATGATAGCCATTGGTTTATATCGGACAAGAATCCACTATGTGTGAATGGGATTAAAAAAGAATACAATTTTTTGTTTTTGTAACAATCTTAAAGTCAAACCTTTTTTAGTTTCAACTTGGAATTTACATAAACGATTTTATGAATTTGACCGTTTCCAAAATAATAATTTGTATGGTTATTTGCATGTGATCTAACATTACTAAATTACATGTTATAGCTATCGTTAACATCCTTTTTCTTACAAACAAAACATCGGATGTAAAAGGAACATTACAGTTTATAAGAATTGGCCATTTTTAGAAAAAAGATTGGGTGTATTTTACAAACCCTTCCACTGCTTGTATATGAAATTGAGTGTTGGATTGTGGCTTCAATGTATCACTTTTGAGAAGAAAAGAAAGATTGTGGCTTCAATGTATCACTTTTGAAGTTTTGAGAAGAAAAGAAAGAAATGGGGGAATCTATGGAAAGTTTCAGATGAAAAAGGATGAAAAAGGAAACGCCTGAGGGTCATTTGATAGAATTCTGACTTAGTTAGAATTCTGACTGAATCCACATCTGATTGAGTCTATGATGTTTGACTATTTCTCTGAATGACTGTGTTTAGGGATGAGCAAAAGGACCGAACCGGCCGGAACCGGCCCGAACCGGGAACCGGCTTCGGCCAAAATCAATAACCGAACCGGTTCCTGGTTCCTGGTTCCTACCGGTTCTTGTCGTGTCTTCAAATGTTGGAACCGGTCCTCTAAAAATAGCATCATACGGTTCCGGTTTTTGCCGGTTTTACCGGTTATATCGGTTCCCGGTTCCAAAAATCCACAAAAATAACGTCCCGGTCCCGGCCCGACCGGTTCCATCGGGTTCCGGTTCCGGTGCCGGTTCCCCGGTCCATATGCTCATCCCTAACTGTGTTGAATATGAAAAATGTGTTGAATATGAAAAATGACCATATTACTATTATGTTGTCTCTTGTGCTGGATAACATAATTATAAAAATACAAACTGTCCCATAAAATCCAAATTAAACATAGATCATTTAAAATCCAAATACAATCTGTCACATAAAATCCAAATACAAATTGTTACATAAAATCAGAAAGTAATTGATTAGCAATCCGTCACACAAGTGGTTATATAGTTAACGGCTTCTAAACCCATTCTATGTCTTAAATGTTTTGGCTCTCACTTCATCCACCATGCACGCCATAAGTAACCATAGTGCTTTGTTCAAAGTTCGTAAATAAGTCATCTTGAATATTGAATTTGCTTATAAAATTATGGACCACAATACAAACAATAACTATGTCTCTTTGCATTGGAAAAAGAAAAGGAGCCATTTGTTTTAAGATTGGAAATCTGAGCTTCCTTTTAAGCCACTATCCTCTCTATCATTAGTTGTTAGTTCGTGTATACATGCTTCAAAAAAAGTTTTGTCCACATACTCCAACTTCCAACTAACTCTAGTTCTCATATTTGTCATGTCTATTATAAAAAGAAAAGATAAATAAGCCAACTTAACACACATCTCCAACATAAATTAAGCGTAAATCTTATTTCCTACCAAGATTGTACAAGCTTTCAACAATTTCTGATTTCATAACATTTGAACAAGTTCAGATTTCATACCAAGATCATACAACATTTCAACAAATTATGATTTCATACCAACATTTGAACAAGTTCTGATGTCATATTGAAGATCATACAAGCTTTCAATAATTTCTGATTTCATACACATACAAATTCTGATTTCATACACATACAAATTCCGATTTCAACAATTTCCGATTTCTTATTTCAACAATTTTTGATATCATACACATACAAATTCTGATTTTAACAATTTCTGATTTTAACAATTTCTGATTTCATACACATACAAATTCTGATTTTAACAATTTCTGATTTTAACAATTTCTGATTTCATACACATACAAATTCTGATTTCAACAATTTCTGATATCATACACATACAAATTCTGATTTCAACAACTTTTGATTTCTGATTTCATAAACATATAATATGATTTTATACACATAAATTCAGATTTCATGCACATACAATTTCTAATTTTTGATAGCATCCATCAAACATACATACAACAGCTTGAAATTAGTTTCTCAATTGATTAAAAAAAACATACATGTTGTTGTGGAGGTCCGCTGGCGATAGCAGAAGTTGAGAAGGGTCAAACTCGTCGGAAGGAGGTCCCGATTTCAGGCCTTCTGTGTCGAAGATGGAGTAAAGAACAACCGATGTTGCTGAGTAGAGAGGAGGCATGATTATGTATTTTCTTTTAGGGTGCAGAGGGCACACGGGGGCAAGGGTGTCCTTTTTTTGAGTCAACTATAATTTTGAGTTGGAGCGAATAAGAAGATGGGTCAGCCGTCAGCCATTGCTGATTGAGTCAGTCGATTTTGGGCTCTACCAAACGGCCTGACCGGACCAGTCAACCGAAATTTGCTGACCAGACCAGTCAGTTCACTATCAAACGGACCCTAAATATGTTTATTGAAGATTTTTGGATGAAAATTGACTGTCATTGGAAGGTGAAGAGGACGATGAGAACATTTTACTATGATTTTCACCATAAAATTCAACTCATTAATGACTTTCTTATTATAAAAAAAGAGCCCCTAATTTATTTTTTTTCTTAATAAAAAAATTAAAAGTATATGAAAAAGAATAATAAAATAGAAAAAAAGTCTAAAATAAAACTAAGAAAAGGGTAAAAAATTCTTTTTCATTGCAAAAGGACTATAGACAAGGTGATAAAACCACTGGACCATAAAGAAATTCCAATAGTTGTCCTCACTTTGTTTTGAGAAACATAATACAATTTTGTTTTATTTTAATAGATAAAATCTACCAATAAGAGATTTTATAATAGTTATGGTACAATACAAAAATAACTTTAATAGAGCATCCATTTTTGGGGATCCATGTAGAGGTCTATAGTTTCAATGATGTTAGTTATGATTTTCTTTGACATAGTATTTAGGTAAAACATATGTTGTTTAATGTTATTAGATGTGTTGGAAAGATATCTTAGCCATTAGAATGAAGTTTAAATCGTAGACAAGTATGTAAGTTGTAAACTAAAGAATAACATTAAGAGAAATTAAATATCCTCCTACATTTTGTTCCCACATATCTTCCTACCCAATTAAATGATGACATGTGTAACATTTAATGCTCATTTAATGATATTTTAGGATACTAATATGACACATGTCATCCTTTAAATGGGTAGGAGGATTGGTAGAAACAAAAGGTAGGAGAATATTTAATTTCTCACATTAAAAACATATAATGAAGTTTAAATCGTAGACAAGTATGTAAATTGTAAACTAAAGAATAACATTAAAAATATATGTGAGTTAGTCGTTAAAAAGAAAATTAAGTGGAGTTGTGGAGATGAAGTGGTCCGTGCGTCTTGGACATTTTTAAGATCTACAAATGGATCTAACAGCTATATATATATATATATATATATATATATATATATATATATATATATATATATATATATATATATATATACACTAGAAATGTTTGAGACCCGTGCTAAGCACGGCCCACAAAGAATAATTTGCTTATTTCTTTCATCGTTATCTAAAGTATATGCTAATAACCAAAAAATAAAAGTACAATGCTATAAACGGGTGGATTTTTAAGAATGTATAACCTTTAGCATCACTCATAGAACATTCTTGGGATATTGGATTAATCATGAGATACCATGTTTGGTTCCTCATTGAGGCCTATGCTATTTGTTTCTTGGTTGTTCCTTGTTCTTTATTGCTATGCAGATAATTGTGGTTATGAAGTATTTCTAGAAGTATGTTTACTAACTACTTTTAGTTTATTATAGCAAGATGGTAAGGTTAGAAGTAATAAAAGAAATTATAAAGTCAAAGATGGTAATGGAGGGATGAACAATGGTAAAGACCCATGGGTTATTTTCTTCATGATGAACCGTTTTTGAGCTGATTGCATCGTTGATGTTGTTAGTGTTGTTTGTTGTGTAAAGGATGAATGTCTTTGTTTGTAGTTGTATGGACTGCTTGTTAGTTGTAAGCTATTAATTCATATACAATTATGCATTTTATATGAAATTGCAGTTGTTAAACATGAAAATTCGGAATATATATCAGATCAGGCCATGTTGAATGCATATAGGGAAGTGATAAATATGACACTTTGGATCGACTTGTGTATAAATTTATAAAGTAAATAGTATTTGCATCCCACATGCTTCAACTTTGGGGTGGTCGTCGTTCAAAAAAACAAATTTAATTTGCATGTGAGGAAACTGTAAATGAAATAAGATGCTCTCAATTATGTAAAAATAAATGGTAACTGCTGATGATAAAGTGGATAGTTCATTTCACTATGCTTCCTCGAATGTCTTATGATTTTTTCAGCCCTGCAGGATACGTTTATCTGAACAATGTAGTTAAATGACATAGCTACCCATGATTAAACACGTATTCATTCATACCCATCTTGTTGAAAATCGAAGTTAAAATTTTCTTGTTGGTGTAAAAACATTTCTCAATTGCATATTTGATATAATCATCCCTTTAAATTTTGTCTTGTATGTCTGTTTTGTGTCACTCTGTGCTGCTACATCTTTGGCAACATATGACAAAATATAATAAAGTAAATGAATATCTATAAAGAAAGTTGCACATGAAAAAAAAACTTCACGTTAGTTGGGATTTGAATAACTTATATAGTTATTAGAAAAGGTGGCCATTGCACCATAGGGACAGCCGTAGTATATTTAGGCATTTGAAGAAATACCATTCCCTGAAAATAGAACACATCAAATTCAGATAGCAAAAATGTAATATTCCACCTAATAAATTTGAGTCGCCTAAGATGGTTTTATATACCACTTTCTTAACATTATAATAAAATAATAAACAAAATCAATATATTATAATCAACAATTAAGTTAATAAAAGATTCAATACATCAGAATAGTATATAAAACTTGTCTAATGGATTACCCAATTTGCAATCCAAAAAATTACAGTGAGATTTGTTATTTTGGCACAGAGGAAGTTATTCCTTTTCATACAAAGAAAGAATATAACCAGATTTTAAATTAAAAAACCACAAGCATCATAGAAAATAGATTTTCGGTTTGAGCCAAAATCTAGTTTGCATAATTGGGTTGATTTGGTTTCAAACCAATGAACAAAGTTTTTTCACAAGTCCTTATGTTGTGTTCCAAACCAAAACTGAAGGGTAAATATTTAGAACATATTATGTCCTTACATTGTGTTTTCTCAAAATAACTATTCTTCTTTTACTATTCACTTCCACAAACCATCTAAAGGATTAGATATTAGTGTAGATGGTGATCTATTTCATTAATATATAGGGTGATAATTGGTGTAAAAGATAATATTCATATTAATAGAAGAGAAATAATAGTGGAACATTCCATGGAATTAAGCATAAGCTAATGACGAATTACCAACCTTAGTGACAACAAAATTGATGCAGAGAACTGAGATTAATTGTTGACTACTCTTCCACCTATAACTTATTGATCACCAAATGAGAGAATTTGAAGGTCCCTTTTCAAACAAAATTTTTCAAGAACATTAAAAGAGTATATTCAATTGAAACCCAAAGAGATGAAGATGAAATATAACAACACAAGTTCTCCTGACAGCAAAAATCTCATGTTGTAAAAATTGGTTTAGGAAGAACTTGGCGGCATAGTTGATCCATCTTGTAATATTAGATGACCATATCATGGTGTTGCTACCACTGTGGATCAACAGCCTACTTCCAACTTTGTATGCAACATGTTGAAACTCTCTAAAGAAACACAAGTCTAATTATTAAAACTATACATTTCAAATCAATTTGCTAGAGCTCTATGAAGTTCTTCACCGGACCCAAAAACACATATATAGAGATGAATAGTTCTACCCAGATAAATTGTACCTAGGCATATATATTGTAGTTCATTTTCAACTTTTATGGCAAAACTTAAATATAGATAAAAAAAATAAGCTTAACATCAATTTTGAAATTTGAAAGTATAAGCGTTTAATTTTAAGTCGTAGTACTTCTAAACTCTTACCAATTATAACATTAGCATTCTTTTTAAAAAAATACCAAAAGATAAACTTTGTGACTATGATCTATTTGACACATATAAAGAATTAAAAACACTCTTTAATCACTATTTATCAAATGTTCTTTAACAAAGATAAACTTGTAGGATCAGGTCCCTTAGAAACACACACTACTCACGTATAATATGTATGTGAAATCAGATAAAATATGGAGAAGAAAGGACTAAAGAGCACTAATTTATTCATATCAATATTAACATTATATAGCCTTGAGAAGATACCATCGTCAAACATGAAAGAAATCATGCTTCACACCTCACCTAAAGAACCGGTCAAGGCTAATGACCCGTATACTTCCATAAAACCTGGTCAAACTAATTCCCAAGGCTAAATAATGAAGTATTAACTAAAACATAAAATATAAAACAATCAATACTTCTTAAATCCAAAAGCTTTAACTCATGGACAAACCGATTAACCCAACAATACTTTGTGAGTGATCTATTTGATAAATCTAATAAAATAATTTTAAAAAATTCAAAAACCAGGAACTTAGAACAGGTTCCAAACGGTTCTAGGAGCTGTTCAAATATACTAAGAAACTATGTCACGGTCATAAATTCCAAATTCCGATGTAGGAACAACAATTCCAATTACAGTTCAGGTCAATTTTGCAGTGTACCTGCCTATGCTCACATCAAGTGTAAATATCAAGTACATAATACTTAGAATTTAAATTTTTTATCTGACTTTTTGCAATCAGGTTGACATTTATACAACAGGACCTATAAAACAACATTGTTATTTTTTGTGTTTAGCACAAAATAAAACAGAATGCTTACGAAATTTTATTTACACGGGCTGGAGCTCACACAGAAGTTCTTAATTAACCAGAAGGTGATATTCTAACCTATGTTTGCTTAACATAAGGAACTGGAACACCAAATCTGTAATAGATTTTGAAAGGCACAACCCACCAGGATAACATCTTAAAAGACAAAAGCTATTATAAACAAAGCACAACCTAAAGGTTCCCATAATGAAAACTGAAAATTTATCATCAGTCCATAACTATTCAATCATGAACTAATATATAAAGTAGCTAAAAGAGATGTCAATCTCGTAGTTCATGATAATCAATATCAATGATCTGTGTATGTCATCTAAATAGTTATCCTGGTTGCCTTCTCATGCCTCTACCAATTTTATGTTTCATGGTTTCTTCAATTTTAATGGTTGCATTTAAATTTCTTATTACAATAAATACTTTTGAATATTTATTGATATGCAACAACCCTACAGATAGTTAAACTATACCTTATTCATAAGTTCACTTTCAATTACACTCAAATATGCACTTTTTTTTATACATTTCACCTTCTCTTCTTCATTTGTGCACCAATTGCCTCATGAAGGATCTATACATAATAGATAAAAAGACATCCATTTAATAAAAGCCACAACATTTATTTGTAAAGATTAAAAAACAGAGAAACCAATTTGCCATTTGGGGAGTAAATAAAACCCAAGTAAATTTGATGTTTTCAGCAATGGGAGTGACAGAAAGACAGTAAATTGTTACATCTTCAATCCCAGAATAACTGGTTATTCTATGTTCACAATGTAAAACATGATTATGCAACAAATTTCGATTAACAGTTTCACATTGCATCTACAAAGTGCCCTAGTCCCTGCATATAATGAACATTTGCATGATTAAAATTCTTTTAGCAATGTTGACTTTGTAGATTTATAGAGTTTTCCTCAAAAGTAAACAGTATACAACTACATAATGATGCAAGCTTTTGGGCTTAAGTATCCTCCTGGCTGTAACAGAACATTTTGGGATTTTTAGAGTCTGTCAAATTTGATATTTCCTTGAGACTCGTATGTAACCTCTTCGGTATCCAAAAAACCTTTTTTTCTTGTATCTCTTAAATAATCAAGTTTCGCAATCCAAAATCTAACATACGATATTTTGGGGCAAATGTGGATTTTTTATAGGCGATTGAAAACATCCACAGATTGAACATCATCAATTCCAATTGAGAACACATAAGAAAACAACCGAAGCCCAAAAACCTTATACAGAAAACGAACCAAATTATCAGTGGTTCTCCCAAGACCTGAAGAAGAAATAAAAACTCTGACTATTATATATATAAAATAAAAACTTTGGGAACCCAAAAACTGAAAACCCATTAATTTTGTCACCGATTTAAAACCCATAGATTAATTCAAGAGTTCTCCGGGGGAGAGCCATTTGACTGTAAACAGAAAATCCCAAACCGATTTATGAAAGAAAGAGATCTGCGGACGAAAGAAAAGAGACAGAAAGAAGACAAGATCGGAAATTCAATAGCTAACAGAAGAAGTAAAACCATAGATGGTAAACCAAAATCTACTAAATTTCTCGAATTAGGTAACAATTTGTGAGTCTTGTTAAACACCGGAAGCAAGTGTAGCAAAATTAGAACCCAAATTTTAAAAAACACTTACATGAGAAACCAGAGCGTCTTCCAAACGGGTGTGCCATTTGATGGGCGTCCTTGTCTTTCAAACGTTGAGTAATGTGGCATCCTTGGAAACGCATTAATGTGTTGTAGACAGTACCAAAGAAGAACGTATATATATATAGAAGGTGAGGCATAGGAGGAGAAACGACGATATGAAGAAGTGAATCGACGTATTGGTAAGTGGCGTCGTTCTGAGGATGGGTTACGTGGATGTATTAGAATAGTGTGAATTGGTTTTATGCGGCATCGGGACAATGGCTGCGATGATTGGGAAGGATTTGAGTCGACATTTGTTTGTAGGATGTGTCGTTTAGGTAAAGGGAGTGGGGGCTACAAGCCCACTCGCCAAAAGCTTGGCATGAACAAAACACCACCCTCTTCGCCATGTTAAACAATATGTTAAGAAGAGCTCGTTAGTTTACTAGCTAGAAGATAGAGAAGAAAAGATTTTTTGCAATTAGCTGTCATTGGCCCTTTTGTATTTGCTATTTTTTTTTATTTTATTTTTTCTAAAATCAGAAGGCTGTGATTAATCATCTTTTATTTGGATTTTTGTTTTAATTTTTTTCTTAAAATCCAAATGTATATATTTTCTATGACAAAAGATTAGGTGGAAAAAAAAATATGATGTGACATGTTTTAGCATCTCTTTAGCATGCGCCACCACTCTCTTTAGCCTTAGTGTTAGGTTACGTGTATATATATATATATATATATATATATATATATATATATATATATATGGGATAGGAAATATATGGCTGTCATCTACCTAAGGTTAGATATAGAACTCTCAAAATTATATAGTTTTAAGCTTAAAAAACATAATCCATCGTCACAAGTTTGTTAATCTTCTTCCTTAAGTCACGAAAAAATAAAAATACGTGAAAGCAAAAATAAAATATAATAAAAGCAATTACAAACACTTACTAGCTATTGTTTTTAGTATGTAAGAAAAACAGATTGAATTGAAGTAAAAAAAAAAAAAAAACTTAGTTCATGTTGTACCTGATGCTTTCACCAATAATAAAATGGTTTTGTAGCTTCATTAGTTTGGAATTGAATTGAGTCTTGTAATTTTTTAAGAAAAAAAAATAAGAGGTTTCACTTATCTTGAAATCTTTGTTCGGTGGTTTTTTTTTCTAGAAAATAAAGTTTGATTTGTATTATAATGTATAATTCGATTTAGTCTATGTTATTTTTTAAGAAAGTAAAATCAACAAGAAGTTAAAAATTATAGTTTTTTACTTAAAATTATATTGTTTATATGATGGTATCAGGTCTAAGATTACATAACATATTCACTTTTCCATATATATATATAGATATATATATATATATATATATATATATATATATATATATATATATATATATATATATATATATATATATATATCTATACTAATTTATAATGCATACATAAATTGGGTCCCATTAAATTTTAAGACAAAAGTCTTAAAAATAAGGAGTTTTATTATAAGCCATTGGATCTAATTTGAGTGGTCCAAAATGTTAATCCATGTGAATAGAAATCAACCAATCAAATTCAAAGCACACGATACCATATATTAAGCATGAAGAAACACATTCAACTCACACACACCCATCTTACACACATAAATAATATATTAAATTAGCTAAACCAATCTGATTCCTCTCCATTTCAAAATTTGAAATAAAGACGCCTCATTTTCTTTCTCTCAGACAACCTAATCCATGTCGCCCTCTCCTCTACCCCTACCAGCCAGCCTCTTGCAACACGAACAACCGCGAAGCACCATCACCGCTTCCCGTTCTCGCTCCGTCAACATTAGTTTCACCATCACCGAACAACCAGCAACGCATGCTTCACCTCAGTTAACCATCAAAATCCACTTCCTGCTCCACCTCCTTCTGCTCTTAAACGCTCACAGCCACCACCGCGCCTTCTTTGTTTCTATCTATAAAAATCTTAGACCTAGATGTACACTGAGAGAGACACACGATCTAGGTATAATCTTTTTTTTTTGAAATGGCATATCTTTTGGCTTCCTTTGCTCTAAAATTACCATTTTTTCCAATTTATTCTTTTTTCCAGTCATTTGATGAAGCGATTGCTGATTTGGACACTATTTGTATGTTTCTATTCCAATTTTTATGTTTTTATATTTCTATTCCAAATTCTTAAATTCCTCAAATTGTATTTTTTTTTCTAATTTTTTGATCTGTTTTGTTTGTTCTTTTTGGAATCAGCCTTTGTTACTTCCAGTTGGTGTATATCTCCATAGTTTTCTTTGATTAACTATAGATATCCAACTGAGTTTGTCTATAATTCTTGATTTTTAACGTCACTGTTAAGCATAACCACTAAACATAGCTTATTCTGGCTTCAGAAGAAGAAAAGAAAGAAGAGGTAAAATCATTTTTTTGATCTTATCTCAGTAAATGAATGGCCGTTCTTTATAATATACGATGCACTGATCTAATACAGAAGCAGAGAAGTGCTATGGGCTTGATGAAGAAGACCACGAGCTCCTTCAAGATAACAACATCGTTGGCTTTCTACAAAAGTTTTGAGTTTCCTGTCTTCACTTCATAACAACATCGCTGTTTTCCTTTAAGAGTTGTTTTCCTTTCTGTCTATTTTTTATAAAAAAAAACTTTCCTTATGAATTTTTTAGGAGAGTAAGAAGTTTAAGAGTCTAAGGAAATTAAGGGTTTATTTTGACGAAGCGAAATCCGGATTCTCTGATGTGGAGGAATATAATAGAAGTGTAAAGGTTGGGCGAAGCGCAGAGTAGAAACTCATACATCTTTTAGTTAGGGATGATAAGGGTATTTTTTTCACTTTCCGAACAGTTTTTAGTAATCATTACCTGGAACATTTCCTGTGTGGTAACTGTAACTTGCTCATGATCCTTAGGTCTACACATTGAGGACATTGCAAAAGAGGATCATCTTGAAGAGGAAGAAGATGAAATGGCTGACTTCATTATTAATGAAGAAGTTTATAAACAAGAAAAAACAAATGGCAATCTTGGATACTTTCTTTGTCACCAAATGCCTTTGGTTTCCTATTTTTGTTGATCTTTAGAGCATATCATGCCACATGCATAACATGGTCAACGAAATTGGTATGTTTCAGTTGACTTTTTCTCAAAATTAGTACCAGACGTTGATTTATCAGGTTAAAGCATAACTTGGTTTATTTACTCTTCACAATTTGGTTTTTTACTTCAAAAAATTTGATGACAAGGATGTAACGTTTATGTGTTGTATGTCTGATCTCAGGTTGTTTTCGCACACATTTAACTTGGCTGTTGTCATGAGGTCATTTTGAGTCATTTATGGTTCTTATTGGCCCTAATCAAATATTTTTTATAAATCTTGTGCATATATTGCAATTTCATTAAATGTAATCCTCGCCAAAAGTAGTGCTTTTATTTCCATTTCTTAATCAATTTGTAGCTTATTTTTTCATTTTTCTTATGTATTTATTTTTCAATAGATGTTTGTGGATGGTCCTTTTACCATATCTATATCCATGTCCTGTAATTTGATATGAATAATTGTTAAAGTGATGTTTTTTTAATTGATATTCATATATTTTGATGGATGGTGTAAATTTGTTTCAGTAAAGTTGTTAAAGGTGTTAAATGTTTTTATGTTTTAATTTGTGCATTTAAAAACAGAAATAGATGTTTTGGTTGTTTTGTATGCCAACAAGGTTTAGGCAATGCTTCTTATTTTTTGCAGGAAATTTTCTTGACATCTTGACATTCAGGGAAGTGGATTTCAATGTTTTTATGTTTAAAGTTTATTTGATTGTTAGAAATGAATAAAAAAAGTGTACGTTAAGTGCAAAAGATTGGATAGAAAGAATCGAGACCGATACCAAAATTATCCGGACCGAAAAAAGACCGATTTGATATCATCCGGACCAACCGGAAAAAGAATGAACCATCCACCATTACGAGATCAATCAAAAAAAACTTTTGTATCGTTTTGAAACTAACTTTAGATAGATCTAAATTATCATACGTTAAGAAAAATATTTTAAATTTTGAAAATATTTTAAATTTTGTGTATTTGTGTTGTAGGTTATTTTATGTTATATGATTTCTTTTTTACTTAATTTCTATTTATTTTATAACAAAGTTATCAAGTTATTGATAATAATTATAAATCTGACATTATAATTAAGTTAAATATCATGTATAAGTGTATGTTCAATTCAAAAGTTAAAGTTTTCAAATATTTTTTTGTAGCTTGATTTTTATTATTTAAAAAATAATGAATTACATGAACTAATCAAGATACCTATAAAAATTTCATAACATAAAGTAAAATATATATTTTTAGTTTGATGTAATATGAGAAAAGAATAATGTTACATAAAATTTGATGGTTAGGTTTATACAGTTTTAGTCGAGTTTTGCAAAATTTAACCAATATAAAAGAACAGATTAAGCTCAAATGAAAACATGAACATCAAAATCCATAAAAGTGAAACTGAAACAAAATAATAATAATGATAATAATAATAATAATAATAATGAACCGAAAAAAAATACCTGAATTTGAGCAAAAACATGAAAAAAATACCGCTAGACCAAAATTGGACTAGAAAAAACTGGGTAAAATAAAAGACAAATAATTTACATGATTTTTTTATTTGGTTATAAGTTTATATAAGATAAGGATATGTTATCACCATTCTTTGAAAGCGTTAACATAAGCTATTTTTTATAATCAATGTAGGTTTTAATTAATGTTAACTAAGAACAAATCGAAGGGTAACAATTTGACGATCGTCGTAACGGAACTAACTTTCGTCTGAAAACTAATCGGCAAAATGAAATTAATCGTCGCCGCCGCATCGCGCGGGTATCCCACTAGTATATATATATATATATATATATATATATATATATATATATATATATATATATATATATATATTAGAAACTCCAAAAATAATAAGAACGGTAAGACAGATCCTGACCACTTATCTCTAAAAATCTGGCTGTGGTTTAATTCTTTTTTCCGAGATCAATAAAAAAAAGCGCGGTGGCTTTTTGGTAATTAAATCCAAAGATTTGAAATTTTCCGTAAAAGGTAAAATATTTAAGGGTCAGTACAATAATTTTAAAAAGGAGACCACGTGCCGACTGCCTTCTGTCACTATTTTACGTGTCCCTATTTTTTGAAGCGCCACCACTTTCTATTCTAAGAGATGCGACCTGTCCTTTCCATATTTATTTGGTTGATTTTTTTTACCCGGTTCCTATTTTGTTAATATCTTTATTTTTTATTTGTTAAAGAAAAAAAATAAAAATACCATAGTTCGTATTTTTCTTCTTTACAAAATAAGCATAACTATGAAAAGCATAAT